TTTTATTATACCGATTTATAATTGCTAAAGTTACCGTTCGTCTGTCATTCGATGTCAAATACATTTTCGTCTGTCTCTTCTTTCTTTTTTCAGATGAAATATGTAGTGAAGTTGCGTATCTAAAACAATAAACATTGTCTCGAGACAATGGTGTGAATTATTATGCATCTCGATAGCACGATTTCGCCTCGGTACACCAGTTACGAAAGTCAGCGCTACGATGTACGTTTCCTTTTCGCTGCGATCTCTAAAATGACTCGTCTTTCATTGATCTTGCGATTATAAGATATTCGAAATCTAATTTTCTTGCGCAAATGAATCCTTCGGTATAATACACGAAAGGCTTGGCCAATTTAAATATTCGAATAGATTCTCTCTTTTTGTTCTGACAATCGATAACGCTCGAAAAATAAATTACGAGCTTTATATCTTCGAATATTCAAACGAATACATAGTGCACGTTTTGCAATAATGGCTCGTTTCTACCTTAGTTATTACTTTATTTCGAGATTAACACAACTTTTGGCCACTTTATGTCACGGTATCTCTGCTTAAAAAATTCTGATTTACCAATAGTGAAATACGGAATTAAAAATAAGTTCCAAGGATAATTTCAGATCAAAGATTCTTCGAGTTAAAAAATTGCTTCGATAGACTGACAAAATGTTTTTATCAATTTCACGCGCATCATTGACGAACACAGTAGCACAAAAAAAAAGAACTTTGCTCTTGTGCACTTTGTTAATTATGTCGGATCTTATTAGGTTATTCTCCGTTTCCGTTCTCCAATTATCTAAGCTTCAAACGTTTCACGTTCGAGGATGTATTTCTCACGGAAACGCAATTGCAAGAGAGCCGCTTTGGCGGAGCTACGAGATGATAGATTCTCGAAATTTCTCAATAGCCGCCTCTTACTCGAAATTTTTATCGCGCGAGGACGCTGGATCTCCAAACGATCAAATTATAATTTATCTTCAAAAATTTCTTCCCCAAATTGTATTGACCGATAACAAATTTTAGAATGCCTATCCTATAAATGTCAAAATCTTTGTTAATCATATAAAATACGTACAAGATGTTTCGCAGAAAGAATTTCTCTGTTACAAATATTCAATCGTATCTCTTTGGCTTATTTTTGTAAAGATTTAAGAAAATATTTCTTTAACGGACACCCTAACTGTTTGTCGATTCGCCTCCGTACGATTTTTATATCGAGAGAAGACAAGAAAGATAAAACACATTGATGAACATCTTCGCAAAGATCATTTAATTATTCTTCGAGTCTTGTAATAGCGCGGCATGTTTTATTTATACAAAATTAAGGATGCTCGTAAAGAATTTTCAAGGGAAATGAGGATTGCTTCTTGTTGTAAATCGAGTTTTTAACGAGAGGCGATGCTACTTCCACGAAGCAAGTGATCGCAAGTGATTCAAGGGCAATATGATTTATTAAATGTCACAGGAAATTATAGTTGGATTCGGTCATCGCGTGTAAAATTATTATATTCGTTATTGCTATTAAAATTATTGTCCAGATTCATTAGCAGATTTTTATCTGCCGCATAATCTGTGGTTTGACGAACGTATTGCAGCTTCAGTTTGATGCGGGAGTGGCTATCGTGGCATTCTATTATAACGCATTACTATACGATGCATAGAACATCCGCGATAATCCAGTAGACCGCGGAGATTCGTAAAAGGAGAATATCCTGGAATGCAGAGCATCCTTGATTCACGATTAACTGCAGACATCTGACGAAACTGCAACGATGGATGGACTTGCAAAACAGCATTTAACACGAATGTCGCAACATTGTACGTGCGGATGGGAAGATCGAACGATTACTAGATCGATCTTGAACGACGTTCGAAGGATCGACAAAGTCACAAAGGGATACGTCCGTCCTTTCTTATCGTTATATCGATTCCATGGAGAAGTTTCGCGAAGTACAGTGCGTTTTACAATTATATTATAAAAGCCTGAAACCTTAAAATTTTCAATCCTTGTGCCGGTATAAGGTACAAAATATGAAATCTGATTAGGAAGAAATATCGCAAAATCGAACAATTAAATTCATGGAAAACGAGGGAAGATGTATTGCTAAGTTACTGTTACAACTTAATTCTATTTTATCTTTATTCAATTTTTATATAGCAAAAAAAAATACTGTATGTAAATATGCTGATTTCATAGTTCTCAGACAAAGATAAACTCGTATAGTTGTTCTTTCTTCCAGTGAGTACGACCTATCCTTTCTTGAGAAAACATCGTCTCTTATACGTTTTCCTCTACAGCAGGGCGAATATTAGATATTTCCATCTTGTAGCATTCGTTCTTTATTCGTATCGTTGGCCTCGAAAAATTAGGTCAAAACTTGTTACTATACTATATCAGGACAGGAGATGCAAAAATTTATCCTGCAAGGACAAGAAATGATTACATTGAGATAATTATTCCGAAGATCAGTATCACGCGATCGTTGATAAAGGTCTTTGTAAAGAACGTGGCACGATCTGAATTTTATAAAAAACGTAAATAATAGAAATTCTTAAATCTGATTGATTCAATCGATAAGTAATCAATTATATATTTGATACGTTCCATTTCTTCAACGAGATAACTATTCTCAATAACTTAAAGATTACTATTAAGTAACTTATCGTTAGTAAAGAAAAAGAAATGAAATATTTGTAAGGAGATTACCAGAATAGGCAAAGCTGATTTCTCTGAAAGATAGAAGTAACACGAGGTCAACGATCGTTATTTAATGATTGTCGTATTTGACGCGCCACATCTTTGACCTTGTTGCTCGAAAGGTAGGAAAAAGATTTCTGTTAATTCATTTGGGATGACCTGCAATTTGGACAAGCTCGTTAAAGTTGTTGATTCGTAAAATTCTTCTTAATCATTATGGGATTACCTCTATATAGTGAAAGGGATGAGTATGGACCTAAATTTAACCTGCTTCAAACGAGTCATGAGTTCATCGTACGTGTTGTTTAATCTCTTCGTTGAAACTTACTATTAGTTTAAAGATACCATTTTGCAATGCCGATTATACACATATAGTGAAATATGAAGAAGTAAAAGTTGAAACTTTTATACTTTTCTATATAAGTACTAGTTGCACGTTCTTTTACGATCCTAGGCTAAAGCATTTAAAAATATTAAACGAAAATAAGAACTATTAATTTTCGTATGACATTTTTATAAATAAACTGTGTTTGTAAATCAAATCAAATGGAATTTTGCAAAATCTGGATAAACAGAAGATTTATTCAAGAAGAAATAGGATTCAAAAATCTTAATATTTATGCTAATATACCTTCCCTTGACATTTTAACTTAATGGAACAAAATAAGAAAAACACGCGCATACTCGTGACCATATGCAAAAGATGTTCGGTTTTAGAGAACGTCATATACAAGGTGTCTCATAGGTTTCGATAACGTCAGAAATGATAATCTAATAATTTTCTACAAACTCGTTAAATCGAATATAATAAAGATAATCAGTTTCGTGTTACGAAGCCTTTGTAAATATATCGCTTTGCTTTTTTTTTTTTGTTTTTTTAATTAAAAGAATACAAAACTGAAGGAAGTAGAATGTTAATGTCAAGGTTGTTTTGTTCATTGTCGATCTAAGATTGCCATTGTCAAGGAAGACGACTCATTATTCTATCGATCTTTGGCCAGATTAACAGTTATGAGGATTCCACGATCAATTATTAATGCATTTATTAATATCCTGGTTCGCTACATTGCAGAAAATCATTATTATGGCGATAAGGTAGAAAAACAGTTGTCTGGAAGATTAATTTTGTGTAATCAAATTATCATAAGCTTTGTAAACAATAATTATTTTTGGATATAATAGTAGATTATAATCATTATTGTATTTAACTGTCTACCCAACATGACTCGAAAGATATACACTTCACCTTTGTTTCATTTGTCTTTTATTAGTATGTTATACCAGAACCAAATCTCTTCATATTTCTAAATTTCAAATTAAGTTGAGAAGATCTATAACGAATCCTATAATCCTATTTCTCATAAAGAAAATTTTTAAGTTGCATATCGTATAGGATGTTAATTATAATCTATATAATCCAACATTGCATTTAAAAATATTTATTACATAGAAAATTTTTCACAATAATATGATTACACAAAATTAATATTCGATATAACTTTCTGTATCGATTGTATTTGAAAATAATTCTCAAATTGCTATGATAAATGGAAATGACCATTCTTATCGCTATTCTTTTAATTGTATTAGGGTGTTGCCGTAGATTCCGGTCTTTTAAATGTTGTCAGCTTTTCATAGAAATGTAAGATGATTTACGACGATGACGGCACTGTAAAATGATACCTTTTTACGATAAATCCACCACTACGTCGACCATAAATCTTGAGTAATGAGTGGATCGTGCGCGAAAAACACGGTGCTGGATAACTGTGTTCAGAGAAGATGACGAGATTTCGAACAATTCTTGGGAATCGCAATTATTGTGAGATTCGATCGTGGTAAGAGCGTTCAGAAGGTCGATAGAGCATGGACGCACCAAGAAGGGAAGATAGTAAACGGTATGAAAGAAATAGAACAAGAGAAGAAAGATTAAAGGAGTAAACGATCCTTAAAGAAATCTTTGCAGAAATACAATTCGATGCAAAATGTTGACACACTACGCAATACATAATAGTACAATATAAAACAATATACACTGAATAAATATTATACTTCTTTTTTCAAAACCATTTTGATATTATTTATGAGTCTATCAGTTTCTATCAAACAAGGTTTTCTTCAAACATCTAACTGCGAACGTTTGATCGTTTCCTGTCAAATCCCACAGAGTAAAAAGTAAAACACGTGATCTTTCTATTTACGTAAATGTCATGAGCAATCTTGAATCGATTTTATTAGGACATTGTGTATATAAGGTGATAGAAAAGAAGAGGGATCTAAGATTATATAAATATTAGTGTTAGAGTAAATTATTCAAATCCAAACGTATCATTTATTTTCCTTATGTATGACTTATTCTGTACATTAGACGATGTCCAAACTAGATGATTCAAGATCATTTTTTTTTTTGAAATACTAAAAAACTAAATGTTATATTACAGACTTTGAACGATACGATTCACAAAAATATAACAAAGGAATTCAGTATCACTTACGTAAATAATGAGAGTTTAATGGCAACGTAACATTTACAATGTAAATTACATCTATTTTTCTTTTTTTTTTGTAATAAGACCTATTCCTCTATCACTTTCTATGTCTCTTTTTTCTCTCTCACTCGCTCTCTTTTTTTCTCTAGGTACATATACAAAGTACAGTATACGTTTTTCTCCTCTTCCTTAGTCTTCTTTTTTTCGCTCAATACATCTGTATGTGACTTACTTTTACACATATGTGGCTTCTTTTTACCGACATTGCTTTACAAGATTTTTACATGATCTTATTTCATTTTTTTTTCTTTCTACACGTTATCGACGCAGTTTATTCCGTTCCTTTTAAATTTCTATGCCGCCCAAGTATATATTGCACTATCGTATCAATGCGCCCTGTCTTTTCTGAGAAACATTAAGGGGGTTACTCAGTGTCTCGAATGAAACTTGAAAAATGATAAAAAAATGCATACTTGAACCTAATGAAAACTTAGAATCTAAGAGTCTAAATGATTGTACATTTTATAAGAATGTTTATATATATGCTTATTACAATGTTCATTAGATGGAAAGATGTCATACTTTACAATGATGTACTTTACAATATTTTCGTTAGAAGAAATTCTTTACATGCGTTTAATTTTCAATTCGAGTTACGAAGCAACCCCTTTAAGTTATATTAAATTTGAGATTGTTTTCAGCTTTGAATCAAATTCTTTCAAACTTATTAACAATCTATTTTTAGACGTGTGTATGTAGATATTTATTGCTTATTAATTACTAAGAAATTAGAAAAAAGTAACTTGTATAAAGAGAAGTTAAATTGAAAGTATAATATACATAAAAAAAAGAAACACTTTAATTTAACTATTTTAATTAGTTCATAAGAAATATAAACTATTTCAAATCAAATAAGAGTGATAATTAGTATACAGATTTCAAATACGGGATTATATACATTTTACTATTAGACTTAATGTAACGTGAGAAATTCATGCGAATGAAGTATCTTTTCTATTGTATGTTTCATATATGCAAAAAGTAATTTTCATAATCTATCGGGTTTATTACTTTCCTTGCTCATTTTTGTACTTCAACAAATCTGAAATTACAGTCTAACAGTGATTCACTCACTGACCTACTAAAACTTTCTCTTGGCCTATAAATTGGTACTAATATCATGTTTTAACTTCGAAATATAAACTTCACTTATAAATATCTTAAAAATAAAGGCCTATTAAAGAAATCCTTGAGAATCGCATTATTCTAATTTTAAACCTTTAAATCCTATTTTAATGTAAGTTTAAAAGAATACAGTCGTATTTTTCCTTATGTTTTTCTTATTTTTCGTCTTTTTCTTTAACACAGACAGGGCCGCTTTTACGACGGTATGAACGCAACTATATGCGAGTATTATGCATTAACAATTCATAAAAAGTTTCTCGCAGATTTCTCGATAAGCGATTAATAGGAAATATGTTTTATTATACACAGTGGACAGACTAGACCAAGTTCAAACGTCTTGTCGTGATAATTGTTCTTAAATTTATATGTACCTCGACAATATTTAATTCGAGCTGCTTCTTTCAAAGCTACTATGATCTTTAATTCTTTCTTTTTCTTTCTGTATTTCTTTTTTTTATTTAAGGAAAGAATTTTCATATTTTAACAATCGTATATTAAGGACCTTTCATAATTGTTAATAATGAATGATAGTAAAAAACTATAAAATACGGTAGTTCTTTCGATTACAGTCTCCACCATTTTTTGTGTACAGTTTTTGTGTACTAGCGTAATTATACGTTAAACGGCGGTGCAGTTTTCTTCAGAACTTATTACAAACATACGATAAACTTTATACAACATATTATAAATAAGTATAATAAAATTGTTACGCGATATAATTTCGACGTATGATTAAAAACAATATATCAATATTTATAAATTGATTTTATATTTCAGTATTTTTTTCTTTTTTTCTGACTTTTCCGTGCATTATTTTTCACTTCAACACTTTGAATGTAACGAGGTTGTTACAGTTGAAATGCGAAACGAAATAGCGGTTGCTAACGAATCAAAGGAATGTGTTAGTTGAAATTGAATCAATGACTGACACAAACGCTTTTTGAGAAGAATATATACCATAACGGTAATCAAACGTTAATAAAATAATTCGCATTTCGCTTAATGCATTTTTTAGTTATTTCGTCGTGTATGTGCCTGTAATAAGCTTACACGGTAAGTTTCGAATGCAAAACTTTCATCAAAAACCCAGTATCTTTGGCTACTTCGGGTATGTTTATTTAAATAATTATAATATAGTGATATTGTATAGCTTGAGTTACAGTACAGGGTGAATTTGAAACATGTAGCATCCCTTTACATCATGTGTTGCCCATTTGATGGAGCATATTGAGGTTGTTGGCTTACCGGATGTCCTGTTGGTCCTGGTGGACCATATGGTCCTGGCATAGTACCAGTTTGAGGTGGATATCTGTTGTATATCATTAAATGCTTCTTTATAAACTTTTTCTTTCTAACGTATATTTTCATTAATCCCTTAAATGACCGATTTATAACAATCATAAATTAATGTGACTTTCTCATATTACACTAATAGAAAGAAGTAATTTTTAGTCACAAAAGGGATTAAATATTGTATTAATCTCTTCTTTATAAAGCTATTAAGACCTATATTATTAAACTATTTACATGTACTATACATATTATCTCTGAATAAATATATTATAAGTGGAATTTTCAAATATCTTATATCATGTGTATATCAACACATACCCTTGATGTGAGTAAGGTACATTGCTTTGCTCTGGCACAGGTGGTCCGTGAGGATGTCCTCCTGGTGGGTGCTGATGCGAACCCGCTGGTTGCACGTGAAAATGTTGTGGTAATGTCATGTTTGGCATGCTTGCAGGACCCATGTATTCGTTAGGTGGCATAGTCGCATTATATGGCCCAGGTGGACCACCTCCAACAGGAAAGGAAGTTTGATGAGGTGGAGGTACTCCATTAAATATCTAAGAAATTCAAACATTTCATTTTAACTTAAATAAGAATATCATTTATTGAAAAGAAATTGAAATATATATTAAATTCTTACATGTGGAGGTGGTGGTCCCTGATTTTGAAACTGATAAGGGTTTATGTGAGGTGGCATCTTAGGTAGGGTATAATTTGATGGTGTAGGAGGTGGTGGTTCTCGCATCAATGTATGATACAAATTAAGAGCATCCACCAGATCAGAACTTAACTGAGTTAGCTGTGCATGCCTCCTGTCTACTTTTTCTAAAGCTGCATCTATCAACGGTCCCATAGCAGTAACTTGTTCTAAAATTGTTATTAAATTAATAGTTAATATAAGTAATGATATAAAATAATGTATTGTGGTATTGTGGACAGATTGCCCAAGAAATATCGGGTGAACTACAAATGTTGCGAGAAAGCCTAAGTGCCGACAGGCCGAAAGGATTGGGAAACTTCAATGGGCCAAGCAGCCCATTTAGTTATCTTAGTTATAGCACATTACTATATTTAGTTCACGTTAAATAACCATTGTTTTCTGTTTAATCCATTGTAAATAAATCCATCTATCAATAAAGTTATCATATAGGATAATCATTGGAAATCTCAATTTCTAATATTTCTGAATAAATAAATCCTATAGTACAATATAAGATACAAATACAGTACCTTCTAAATCAAGCATTTCTTGTGGATCCGAATTATCACATTGAGGATCAGCTTCATGTAATAAATGTAAAAGTCTGTCCATCTTTCTTTCATCTATTTCAACTTCAACCACTTCTGGTTCTCTCTTTACAGTTTTTACTTCTACCTCTTCAGCAAACTGAACCATTTTTTTGTTACTGTGTTCTAATTCTATATGTGAATTTATATATAGTACTTATTTTTAACTAACACATGAATAATTTAATATTTCATATCTTACTTGTAAACTGTTCAGGCTCCATAGACAAATCTGCAGTAACAAAGTTAGAGGGAAATAGTCCTTCTCCATTTTGGTTACTGCCTTTCCACCAGTTTGGATCAGAATCATCCAATATGTTAACTAAAATTCAGTTGATAACAATAATTTCATCATTACACAATAAATTTATTATAGTCACATCTTTTTAGCTGTAATTAAAATATAACTGTTTGAGATTAAATTTTTAAAGAACACAAATCATACTTATTTCGCCTGCAAAAAATGTTAATTCATTATCTTCTGCTGCCTCAAAATCATACAGAGCACGGACCTTCCTGCCTTCGGAGTTGCTGGAGGCACCAAGTGCAGAACTTACATTAGGGTATAAACTGGTGTATTTATTAGATGCTGGTGAGCTATGTGAAGAGGATGCTTGACTATGAGCTTTACTTTCCTTAAGAGAAAGTTCTATGGCTAGAATGGAAAGTAATTAATTTAATTTTGCAGTTCTAGGGGAAATGTTATTAAATATTCTTCAACAATTTGAAGGTACCTTTTGCAATGTCTTCCTCTTCTTGTGAATTTGTTACTACATTTGGATCTTTACTTAATACACTTATACGTTTGGGCTAAAAAAAAAAAAAGAAAATGGATATACTAAATACAACAATTATTTGTGGTTATAGTTATTTGATGCATACGAAATAATCTATCAATCTATATAAATAATTCCATGTGGTTCAATGGAATAATTATTCTCTTGATGAATGATTGCAGGAAAAACACAGAACGTCAATAAATGATAGTCTTATCTTACTAGTATTTAAATAAAAGACTACGTTCAACCATATATGTTTCGCAATAAATAAGAATCTTATATGTGAATTCAGATGGAAGGAAACTTACCGTATCTGATGTAGAAGTAAAGTCATGTCCTTCATTTTTAAGTTTATTGTACAAACTTGGAATTAAATTTAACTGAGGATCAGTTTTGAAATCATTTTCAGCCCATTTCTTTAAAAGTACCTTCATTTTTTCAGCAATCTTTGGTTCAGAATGATTAACAAGCTTCCTCAGGTCATTTTCAAATTCTCTTGATGCAATTTCCAGATGAAATGTTTTTCCACAATTGATGACACACACATCTAACAACTAAATCCACATTCAATCAATATCGGTTATACAATGGTTTAAAGTTACATTTTGAAGGATATACTGACTGTTAATGCTTGCATAACGATATGTGGATCTGGAGAATATAGTCTTTTAACAATCGACCGTAAACATTCCTTTGCATTTTGGGTAGAAGTTCCCACTTTATCACAAATATCCAACATACTTCCCCATTCTATAGACATATTCTTCTCACTGGTTGCCTTTTCTATTATAAAAAAATTATAAGAAAGGCATAAGATATGATAAGGGAAATAGAAATATCAATTTGCATTATTCCATTCCAATCGCAAATTTCCTAATAAAAAGTACTACTGAATATCTAAATTAGGCAATATATATATATGATAACTTTATTCTTTTTCTTCAATGATTTCCTCAAACATATGAACATCATGGAGTATCAATCTCATATACATGTTTGTACCACAACTTGTACACAACTTCCTAACAAATTGAATAAATAATAAAAGGTGTGAGCTCGTATCAGGCTCGTTTCGCGTTGCAAATTAAAGAGAAATCTGGCTCTGTCCGTGTATGAATTCCAAAAAGAACAGTTAGCATTCAGGAAATTCTTACGATTTGAACGTCTCGAATATTTCTCTACGTGATTTATGCTTTTATCAGAATGAACGAGCATTTTCGTAGACGTGACGGGAGTAATCGGTCAAGGCGATACAAAAGCGAGGTTGAAGTAATTCGCAAAATCTGATGTCTTAATTAGAGGTCAAATGTCAACAACCGCTTAATGCATCCATCAAACGTGGAATTTTGACGTTGCATAAAAAAAAAAAAATGAAAAGCCAGATCCAACGTATGCACAGAGAAACAATAGATACGAGCTGTCATAGGATTTAAAATTTGTTTCCTGGGGTTAAAGTAGTCTGATGCAGGAACAATCGTGTTATAAGTGAATTAAGGCTAGGGAGAAGTCTGCCACTCACCAACGTCAGCGTCGAAAGGCGAGGAATTCTGGAAAAGACCCATTTTCGACGTGGTTCCTTTAATCGATCTATGTTCGACAGTTACGTCCGTTACGCGCTGTCACGGAATTACGTTACGTTCTTCTCTACGCATCCAGCTGATATTTACTTACAAACACGACACCGAATGACTAATAACATTCTAATCTACCATCGAGGGACATCTTTCTTTCGACCTGCCAAAAAACCTCGATACTATCGAATCATCTCGAGCGTAATGTCAAACGGGAGCGGTTTCGCGTCACGAATTACACGATTAATCGATGAGTTCACCGTACGGCCACGGGGAATTCAGATAAACGATTCATGCTTTGAAGGATTAAATATGTATAGCGATTAAAATTACTGATAATTTGCGCAATTCGTTCCTTTTCGATAAAGACATTGAAATGAACATCGACAATCGATACATCGTAAACTATTGCGTCCTACTATCTGCCATCTGGCGAAGAACTTGTGAAATTAGTTTATGAAACGTTTATGATTTACCATACGAGTCCCATTACCATTTTCGTGTCACACGCGACCTTATCATTTCAGTACATATAACATTCTGTGTGTAAAATGTATGTACATTCATACTACATGAATTCAGAGACAAGATACATAATAGACGTGACATTGGATATTCGCTGTAGTAGACTAGTGGCAGGGATGACGTGCAGATGTAGTCAGTGCTTATATAGAAGAAGGTGATCGAATATGACAGAAATTATTACAAAGAAACATTATTTTATTACACACATTATTGAATGCAATTGTATTATCAAAAATTTCAAACAATATGATTCACTGATCGTAGAACACATGGTTAGACTATGAAATAACGAGTTGCGTTTGATTCCATCGCACTTGCTTCCTCTCTTAAATTCATGAACATCATTTGATTCCTCTTCTTCTTTTACAATTCTACTATTTGTCTTGTATTGTGCATATTTTTTGAATATATTCTCTTGATATAGGTATCATGTTTGGCGGTAAGAAATATACCGAAATATACCGAAGATAACCGAAGTGCACCGAAGTAAATGATACCGAAGATGATATAAAGTGAAATTGATGTAATTACCGCCATTTTAAAATTTAACTTGCGAGAATAAGTTAGCGCTATTTATAGCGCTAGAGTTATATTTTTTATGTTCATAGTTTATTAAAAAGAATGAGGTAAAGTAAAGTATATTATGAAATTCTAGAAGACACTTGCATCATATTTGAATCTTAAATGACTTTATTATTTATATTTTCAATGAGCCTGGAATATTATAAATTGTGGTTGTAAATTGAAAACTTTTTCACACAGATTTTTCATCGAAAGAAGATCGAAGATTCTGTCAAAAGCTGAGTATGGAAAACTTAAAGAATAGAGAGATGCGCGGTTTATTACGAAACGACATCACGAAAGAGTCTCTAGTTCATTGTGGTTTCACGAACAATTTTTGCATTTGTCCCAGGCTTCCAAACCTTGGGAATAAACTGCATCACATAATTTCTGCATAATACACTGACAATCAGGCTGTCATCATGTTTGTCAAATTACAATGTACTGTCATTGTGCTTGTTGAAAATCACCTTGACATTATGCAATAACCATGAATTTTGATGGTCTTTATTAGTATTTTGATATCTAGTATCATGAAATTATCATATAACTTTTAATTATATCGATAACTTTCCTACTCTGCATTGTTATTTATAGAAGCTTCCGGGTGCAGTCCTTGTCCTTTTGGTATCGATTGTATATCCAGATCGTGAAAGCCTCGAAGATTTCTATCTCCATTCAAATGTTTAAATATCACTTTCACTGTTCGATATGATCAAATGATTTATCTACGTTGAATAAAACAAAGCAATGATTAGCATCTGTATGTTTTGTAGTTCTGACGGAATCTGTAATAGAAGCTTCAACGGAAGTGATACGTTGAATCTATTTGAAACATTTGATACTTTCTAAAAGAAACAAAATATAAGAATGGTTTCTATTTGTTTAAAATTGTCAGTGGTTTGAAAAATTTGCTATCATCAATTTATTATTTTATTTATTGCCAAGTTACAGTATATTATCTCCCAAAAATAATTTTTATGTCAAGAGGGATTGTTTTAGATATCTCGCGATGTTCTTAGAATTCGCAAGAGGAGGAAGAATGCCAGAGGAAGTAGTCTATGAACTTACGTTACGTACATGCTTCCGTTATTAGTTATAAATAACGGGTGAAAGCGCACACGTGTACACGTTTAATTATTGCAGGACAAAAAGCAATTCTGGGCAGCAATTGGTGAAGGAGGATAATCAATAAAGTATTGTTGCGTCTTGACGGTCCCGTAATGGCGGTTATTAAGTTACGGATGAGAAGTAGCAGCTTCCGATGTCGAAGATAAGACGTCAAGTATTATAGAAAAGTGAGAAACGATGTAGACGAGAAATTATACAGTAGAGTGAAATAATTATAACAATTATGTTTGAAAGGCAAGGAAAGATAAAAATTAATAATAGTACTTATACTATATGCATATATTAGTAATAGTCTTATAATAGTTTGTAACAATTCTATGTAGAAATATCGTAGTAGTATAGGAAATATCTACAAGAAGGAGAAATTTATGATAAGCGTACTTATGTATTTTTCGTATACATTCTTTATGTATATTTATAATTTTCCTAACTTGTAATTTACGTAAATTTCATGGTGCATCGAGATATTACAATTACACTACGAATACGAGGACAGAAAATTATCTGGACAATTACCCTGTAAGACAAGGGGAAAATTAAGCAGGCAACACGACAGGCAAAATTGTATTGTTTAAGGTAAATTATGTTACACTGTTTTCTTGCAAACTAACTACGTCCAGTTGGAAATCTTCCACCTACATTTAACATTGCTTGGTCTTACGAAATGTAAGGTGCTGTGACTTCCATTTTCCGGTTTCTTGCAATGATTTAATTCATAAGACGTCTGTGACAAACGAAACCTGATTCGACAGAAATGTAAGTAATATGAATAATATTTTAACTGTACGATTTATTAAAACTTAGCATTTTCTTTTTATTAGTGAAGCACTTTTATAATTATATGCGAAGTCTATATTAGAGGATTTGGAACCGACAACAAAATTGAATAAGTAATTAGAAAATATTATTCAAATTTAATATGACCTGAAATTTACGTTCTACGACAAATTCTTAAATTGTATTATCAGAGTCACCCGAAATAACATGGAACTTGATTAAGAATTTGACTGCCACGGGAAGATGATTATCATAAACAAAATTGTGATATTTCAATATTGTTTTACGTAATCCTAAAGACAAAATTATATCATGTAACCAACTATAGTACTTGAGATTCGGTATGAGCAAACAATACAACGTTACTCTAATAACTGTATAAAGGGGTAACAAGGTTCCTCCTGCGGCGAAGAATCGAAACTACGAGAATATTTTCGTTAAAATTCACTTCCTCTCCCCTTCGTACAGGTGAAACGCTTTTTAATGAGATTCACGGGCATAAAGGAAAGCGTCTTTTCCCATCCGCGATATATCCGTCCACACAATACTTTTTTTCCACGAACCGTCTCGCTCTTCCGAGATGTCTCGTGTCTGATAAACAGTACGAATATTGCGTTCCCTTATGTAATACGGTTCTCTTGATCTTTGTATTGCTGTTTTTCGATAGGGGAATTTCAACAGCGAATCACGATATACAGGTGTACCTGTCTTCTTTTTATCTCATCACGAAGATATATCTTTCAGAGTATTACAATCCATAAAACACGTTGATCGACGAAAGTGTGTAGTCTGATATTTGAGGAGAAAAACCACAGCTTTCCGGGTGCAATTTCATAATAATATACCGATATTTCACGATTAGAAACGTTTGCCAAGTAAGTATTGTTAAATTTACTTCCGTTTGCTAGAAGTACATTAAAAAAAGGTTTGTTTTTTTCTTGAAGATTATTGTATGTATAGAGGCGCGAAAGAATGAAAAATTGCGATTATAATTTAGAGTATTCTAGGTAATTTGTTCTAAGTAGTATCGCGCGAGTTTGATTTTTTATTCTTTGAACCGATGATTGATTCTTTTTATATTACTCGACAATTGTAATTATTTTTGCCTAATAGGAACAGCTTTAGAAGATTGTAAGAGGTGCCTTACTTCATCGATGGAATTGGGAACAAACGGTTGCTTGGATGTTCTGCATGACGAAGAAAGTAATGGTTATACACTATCGTCCATAAGTTTAGGGTCACGCCTGCAATTCTAGCAATATTACTAGTTTACTAGCACGATATAATATCACTTAAATTTGCGAGAAACAGTGTTTTTTAGTTTCTTTTAAAATTCTCTTATATTTGTATTTCAATACTTTATGTCTCAAAAGAGGTACTTGAAATCTTTTCAAATTGATAATTTAGAAAAAATGAAGCTCCAGAAAAATTTTCTCTTGAAATTAAAAAATTTTAATTTCAAGCTAACTTACTCTTAAAAGTCATATCGTAAAAGAATGAAAATTCCTTTTTTGAAATGAAGAAACTAGAAGAAGAAACTTAGGATATAGATGCTTCTTAAAAGTTATCTTTAAATGACTAAATCATAGAAAGCTTTTTTATAAATTCATTTGTCATACATACTAAACAATTTTGCATGAAACGAAGCATTGTACTTCTGGACGATAGTGTACTATAGCCGTACGAAGGAAGAAAGTTCGGCTCGGGCATCATACAAGGAAGAGCATACATCTCGAGCATTGTGGTAGTCTGAATCCGCTCATGTTCCTTAAAAGGTAAGAAATGGATCGCAAATAGATGACGCAAGGATTAATTAAAGTCTTGAACAAACAATGTTTTATTTCTATAAAATAGCTAATCGTAAGTTTTATGGTGAAGAAATTTAGAGAAAGGATATGGAAACATTTGTTGTGCATAGGTAGCATGAAACATCCATCATTTATTTTGCAGTACCTATACCTTTTCTTACATAATCGATATAGAACACTTTAAACTATTGTTAGTAAAATTGATATAATTTATTTTCGATTAAATTTCTTCCTTCTCTTGTATATCAAATATTAATCGTACGTATTTTAAAAAGTGAATTTTAAAAAAAATTTTTTAAAAATACAAGAATGTTTTTGGTAAATTATTAAACGAGGTTCTTATGTAATCTTTGGCAAAACCATAACGAAATTTGGCAGATGTTTACGGAGGTGTTTAACAGAAAGTGATCGAAACTTTCGCTCAATTCTCGAATCTTACGTCACGACAGTGATCAGTCTTACAATAATAACCAATCGGTAACATGTATTATAGCAATCTTTAGTCATAAAAGCGTGTACTTTTTTTATTTTATTTATAATTTTTATTATTCTTTTAATTCAGTTTATCATTTCGTTGCCGA